AGAAAAAGAGAAAACAGGCTTCATTTTCTCACAGAGGACTTGTGAGACCTTTTAGGGAGTTGTAGAAAAACGATGATAGCTTGTTAGTATAACCAACCTGCAGGTGGTGTTTTCCTACTCTGCTTTTCTACTCTTTGCAAGATTTGTTTGTGAGAAAGATGTTTTTGTTAGCCAATCAAGTAGAATGTGTTGAATCGATAAAAGAGAGGATTTTTCGTGTTAAACATGCTTCTCCTGCAAACCAGCCTTTAAGTGAATTTGTGTCATTTCTGGCTCAAGGGTGACAATCTTCCTTTATAAGTGTTCTTTCCTAGTGCTCTTCTGATGTGATGCAAAGAGTGAACAAAAATCCAGGAGTACTCACAGCTGTGGAGTAGATTTTGAAACCTAGAGGTAGATAGTCCTCTGTAAGGAAAGATAATTGAGATGATTCCCTGCCATGTCTGAAATCATCTCCTTGTGCTTTTTCAGAAGCTTAAGACCAGGTTGCCTTTAGAACCAGACTCTGTGAGGGATTTCACATGGGCAGGAACAGCCACATCAGATGTCCTCTTACAAGTAAGCACAGGGGACTGATGGGGAGCAAGAGAAACACATTAACATAAGAAAAGTCAATAAAAATACATGATTCACCACTCACACCGTCTGAGACTGAAACACAGACATCTAATTATTTCTTATTGCTTTCATAAAATAATTGGCAGAGTTTCTAGGTGTTATGCAAAGCATCCATCTTAGCTGAGGTTCCTTATTATCACAAGAGCAGTTCAGACAGGCCCACTGGCCCTTGCAGAAGGGAGCAGAACCCTGTTATCTCTAGTAAACAGTCTTCTTGCAACTTTGGGATACACCTCCACCAAAAGTTTCTGTTTCAGCATTTAACCCCTGTTTTGCAACACTCATGCAATAAAAGCAGAAATGAAAGAGTGAACTTTTTAAGTGAAACATGCTCCTCTTCAACAAGTCATGCTTTAGCTGAACATAGCCTAACTGGATGTAATTATTTGGCCTATTCTATTTAGAGGAAAGAAAAGAAGCTCATTCCTTCTAGTGTTACCTTCTATTGATGTTCTTTGTGTACTGGAAAGATTAAAAATACTGTCTAGTAATCAAGTAAGGTCTTAGAGAACAAAGTCTGTGAGATATCAAATGGAAAAAAAAACCACATTAATTTCAGAAAGAGACACTGCAATATCAACCCACATTTACAAGAAATCAGCTAAGAGGCTGGTGGGGGTGATATGGATACAGTCAAGGCAAAGGGGCAATGGGCAGAAATGGATGCACAGAAAGTTCCACATGAACAGGAGGCAGAACTCCTTCCCTGTGCAGTGACTGAGACCTGGAGTGGATTGTCCAGAGAGGCTGTGGAGTCTCCCTCACTGGGGATATTCCAGAACTGCCTGGACACAATCCTGTGCCCTGTGCTCTGGGATGACCCTGCCTGAGCAAGGAGATGGGAGCCACTGTGGTCCCTTCCAGCCTGACCCATTCTGTGATTCTTATTGTTGCTATCTAAGGAGTCAGAAAATCTACTGAATATTACTTCTGTCTTAAAGGGGAAGGAGGCTATTTAAGGACTGCATGGACAAACTGTGTTTTCTTGGATGAGCTTTCAACTTGAGGAGAGACAGGGGTCTGCTGACTTAAAGAATTAAGGTTAATGTTTAATGAAAAAAATGTTTCTTCCGCAACACTGCAGAAATGGGATAAATGTCAATGTTCTCAAGAAAACTTGGCTCAAAGTTCAGGAGATCTAAGAAATATTTCTGTCCCAGTGTGAAGGCAATATGCACCTTATTCCACCTCCCTGGTCTCCACAGCTGTGGCTAAGAGAAGAGCACACACCAAGAAAGAAAATTGAAGATTAGTGTGCACCCAAGTCACGCTTTGTAAATCCACACTGACTGAGGAATCCTTGTAGCTCAGACTTCAGTGAACTGAGCTCAGAGTCTTAAATAATATCAGCCTCTTCTAGGAGACACCCTGAACCTGATTTAACCTGTGTTAGCCAACAAACATGACCAAAAAGGGCACGTCCATTCACCTGGCCTATTTAGCCAGGTATTTTAGGTAACTTACTTTAACATGAAAACAATTGCTCTTACAAGTTTCTATTTCTTCTAGAAAATAAATAGAAAACACTTTTATATATGGTGCTGAGGGAGTACAGTTGGTGATGCTGGTCTAGTGGTGAACCTGCCAGTGCTGGGTTAATGGTGGGACTTCAGAGTCTTGGAGGTTCTTTTCCAATCTTAATGATTCCCTGAGTCCATGATTTAAAAGGAAAACACTGCAGGTGAGATCAGGTACAGAAATGCACAGAGTGTGTCTGGTCAGTTGAATACCCCTCCTAATGATGCTTGAGGGCATTCTGTAAGAAGATTATTAAATGCACATTCTTTCTTATTCTTTAGGTAAAATACTGCCCAAGCAACCCCTTATTTTTTATTTTTATCATTTCAGAAGCTCAAAACTCTGCCATAAATGTTCACATTTATTTACATAAAGATTTTCATATGTCACTAACACCCTATTTAGATGGAAAGCTGCGTAAAAAAAAAAATAAATAAAAACCCAGCAGCTATTTAAATGACAAATAGGTAAAGTTATTTAGTAGACAAAGGTGTGCAACAATATTTGTCAAACGCCCTCACTCCTTTGCATTAATTGCCAGCAGGATTAGGATAAAGCAATTAAGGAGACATAAGGGTATTTCCTAAAGAGGAACAGTTCAAGATGTGTGCATTTTGATTGCCCTATGCAGCAGCTGGATGGACACACGAAGGCATTTGAAAGGAGATGTTGGAAGTGGCTGCACCCCATCACCTGGAAAGCCTGTGTCAGAAACAAGGCAAACAGGAAAAAATGGGAATGACCTCAGGAAAAAAAATGGGAATGACATGGCAGTTGATTCTGCTGGGAAATACATCAGACCAAAATTTAGGACCTTCTACGTACAAAATTTCCAGTATGATGTAGGGCTGAAAGATCCAGACCTTGTTTTCATGATTTAACAAGACAGACATTCTGTGCTCTCCACAGTGGTGTGGCTGGGTGTGTGTATACCCAGGGTATGGATATTCACCATTCTCAGCAAGCAGAAACTGGGGCAGTAATTCAGGCCAAACTGGGTTTTCCCAAAAGGTCCAGTGAGGAAAACAGTCCAGCTCCAACCCTTGGATAAAGCATCTTCTTCCTGGAAGTTTGTGTTGTCAGTCCTTTTAGCTTAAAGTTGGCAATATCTGAAGATAATTTGTGATAGATTCAGCCTTGTTAGTGATGAGAGAGAAATATTGCATTTATTCAGAACAAATTTTAGAGTGCCAAAATATTGGAAAATAATTTCGTCAGTATCCCTCTTTGTGTGTAAGTCACCTGTACGTGTCTAGGGGACTTACACACAAATAGGGATATGTGGCTGCTGGACCTCACTGGGAAAATAGCTAAGTTATTCTTCCTGACCAAGGAAAAAGGAAAAAGACATGGATAAATACTCTTCCAATACGGATAGTGTGCCTCTGTATGTGTAGATACCTGCATGAGATTTAAGACATAAAATAATAACCTCAGAAAAAATCCTGATTGAATGCACTTGACCCATTTTAAATTCTAAACACTATTAAAAGGCTCTTCTCCTGATAACATTTCAGCAAGGAAACTTTTCTGCACCCCTAAAACATCTTAAGGTGCAAAAAGGATTGAATGTATGTCATGTGAAGTCTTCACTAGGAAAACCTCTATTCAATGAATACACAGGATAGTCAAGGCTGAGCTATGAGTAAAAAAAAACAATGAACTTTGCTCATGAGTTTGTCCTTTTTTAATCACCTCCTGAGCAAATGTAGGAGCTCACAGGTCCTCACAATCAAAGCTGGCTGTGTGTCCTATCCTGTGGTGCAATAAGGATGAATGATCACTTTTCAACAAAGCTCTGTTTCCTCTCTTTGAGCTGCTCAGATGAAATACAGTTGCTATGAAGGAAAAAACACATATGTGCTTATTTTAGCTTTGCCACTTGCAGGCTTAATTATGTGATAGACAAGAGTTTTCTTGCTAAATACTTTGGTTTCCCTTCCAAATGCAAAGACTCATTTCCAGGGAGAAAAAGATGTAAGAACTTTGAACTTAGTTTGGATAATGATCTAACTCTATATTAGAGAAGCAATTAGACTCTCAAGAGCAAGAGATCATCCAACAGTAAACTCTTTTCTCCTCCATTTGTGAGAAAGTTTAGAAACTAAACTTTTTAAACCATGTAATAGATTTGGTCTCATACCTATTTCCATTGTCTGAGCTAAGGGGAATGTTAAAAAAAAAGCAACCATTAACAATGAAAAATGGAGTTACTCTCTTCAAATTCCTCTTTTTAGTAATTGCAGCTTTCCTTTTTAAGAGCTATGAATATCCTTTTTACATTTAAATAAGTACAATAATTTCCTTTTTAAATAAAAGTTTACAATGAGAACTTGTGCTCTGAGAATGAGTACTTCACTGCAAAATAAAAAAACATGTATTCAGGTTGTTGAAAGAGATTCTCTTTGCTTATCACAGCCTATACGAAGAGAGGTGATTTTCCATGTTTTATTTGCAATGCAAAATTATTTACTTTTTGGAAGAAGAGTTACAACTTGACTACAGGCAACACAATTGAAAGTCACTGCTCCTTACTATGTGCAGCAAACCAGGATCTGTGAGATTTTCTTAAATGTTTAAAATACATGTAGGCAGTGAGAAGTACGTCTGTGGCTGAATGAGCTGGTTTGTATTACAAACTGGAAAAAACCACATGCAATCCAGTATTTCAGACACAGGAGCACCCTGGAAAATTGAAATCACTATATTGACCTGTACTTTTTCCCTCCCATAGTGGGTGGGACGGCGTGCTCACGTCTCTGTTTCTTTTTTTTTTACTATATCACCCAGATCCACGGAATTAGCCAGCTCCTCTGAAGGCAAACACCCATTATCAAGCTCTCACAGCCACCTGCTCTCCAGCAATGCCTCCAGACTTTGACACCAACATGAAGTTTAAGTTCTCGATCCTGGCGCTTCTTCTGGAAGTGATTGTCATCATTTTGTTTGGGATATTTGTGGATTATGGCTCAGATCATTCTAGAGCGTTATACCCACGTAAGTATTTCTGTCTAAGATCTATAGAAGCTGAAATTTCTTTAAAGTGATCCTTAGCAAGATTTCTGAATAACCTATGAGACCTACTGATAAAGCTGGAAAAGAAAGTTGTGTTTTTAGGCAAACACATTTTTCTGAGATGTGAAAGCAGCAGGCTTCAAAGACAAATCCAAATTGAGCAGATACAAAATTCTGCAAGCACCTCACTGCTGAGAAGTTTACTTTTCTGGGAGAGAAGAACCTGAGAAATAATTCTGGTGTTTGCACAGCAGGTTAAGACTTGGAGAATTGTGTATTGCTTTGAAAGAGTCCAGCATTTTCCAGAGACAGATGGGGGTGTTTCTTGCCAAACCTTCTATTCTGATTAATGTATTAAATAATTAAAATTAATAGAATGTTTCATTGCTACCATCCAGGTTTGGAAAAGGTAGCTTATGAGAACATGGAAATTGAGCTGCATATGCACCATTGCTATAAAATGTTTGTGAAACCTGGACTCCAAAAGGGCCACAGTTTTGGTGACAAGGTGGATAAGCCCCTGCTATCTTCCAAAGAAGTGGCTCCATTAGGGAGCAATGGTTTAGCCTGAAAATTCTTCTCTTGATTCATTGCTCTGCAAATACTTGGTGAAGATCAGAAAAAGCTCCTGGCCTGAGAAGTACTTACTCACTTCTCTTGTGCAAAGACTATTGTGAATTAACAGAAAACAAAGTTTGCAGAGCTGCAAACTGTGTTTTCCTGGTGGTATTGAAGGTTTGCTGTTCAGTTTTTTGGCTCTGAGGCCTCAATGACTTGTAGCCATGATTGCAATGTGCTTGATGAGGATCATAGAGTACAGAACTCCCTGCCTGTATAATTTTGAATGTAATTTTGTAATTTTGAACCCTCTTTTTTCTCTCATCCTAACCCTCCTTTCAGTGGCTGTTACAGGCGCATGTGAAATCAGGTTGGAGTAAACATGTGCTATGTATTCTCACAGAGAGCATTGTCTGGGTCAGAGAACAGCAAATGAGGGTATTATTCAGCTCCAGATGCAAGTCTGCTGATGGACATCAGGGGCTAATTACTCACATTTAGGTTAGATCCACTGGGATGTGGCAGTATCCCTGACCTATGGTACCTTGGGCTGTGGCCACTCTCTATGACAGAGTTTGGCCATGTCAATGATGTTCATAGAGCCAAAAGAAAGTTTGGGTTGGAAGGGATCTTACAAATCACTTCATTCCAACCTCCTGCCACAGGTAGGGACACCTTCCACTATCCCAGATTGCTCCAAGCCCCATCCAACCTGGCATGGACACTTCAGGGATGAGGCAGCCACAGCTTCTCTGGAAAACCTCTACCAGGGTCTCTCCACCCTCACAGAGAAGAATTTCTTCATAATACACAATGTAATTCTCTCATCTTTTTAATTTAAAAATTTTCCCTCTTGTCCTATCTTTATCTGCCCATTTAAGAAGCCACTCTCCCACTTTGTCATAAGCCCCTTAAGTACTACAAGGTGCTTTAAAAGGTCTCCCCACAGCCTTCTCTTCTCCAGGCTGAACAAATGCTGCTCTCTTAGCTGGTGTCATATTAAACTATCCCAGTTGTACTGAACTATCCAAGTTCCTAAATTAAGTCTAGACAGTGTATTGGGAATTACTCTTGGTCCACTGTCACCCAGGAGGTGATTGTTGGCCTAGGCAAAAGTTATGCCAAAACCCACATGAATTATTTGACAGCACAGGTAATTAATTTTACTAATGCTACAATATAGATCTTCAAATGTAACTTACCCAGCTAGAGATCACCTATGCTTATTTCTTCATTAGTATCAGTGTCTAAAAAGTGTGGGAGGAATTTCCTGCTGTCTCCTACGCCTCCCTATGTGTGACTGTGTTATTCCTGCACACTTGTCCCTTAGCTGCCCACACCACTGACCTGTGAGCAGCCTTCTGGAATGGTTTGGGCTCCTGCAAACTGGCCCCTTGACCTCCTGGCAGGCATGGCTTTAGGAATAGCATGGATAAGGGACTACTTTAAGGTGGGAACAGTGTTTTAGGAGAGAAGAACATGTATTTCTTTTGGCCTGGCTGTTCAGATTGCCAGTAGAGACATAAATCAAGCAAACACCACTGATGTCATATTGAATTTTTAGATGCTGGCCTCAAAGAGGTCATTCCCATTAAAGACTGGGGAAAAAAGTAGATTTTCACAATACCTATATTTTTACTTTTAGGACCTCTTACTCTCAAATTTACCTGTACAAAGTGCAAACAAAAGTATACTTTGCCTGAAGACTTAGCAGAAATTTGATGCTATGGTTGTTTAGGTGTATTAGGAAACATCTTGAGCCAGGACTTCCCTTGAGTCCCCAAAATGATGGGTTCAAACTGCTTCCCATACTATGCCTTAGGATGTTATCCCATCTGTACCTCAGATATTTAGTTCTTTCATCCAGGATGTAATTTATACTCTCAGGACTACAGTGCAAGGCCTTATTTTGTATGCCTTAGACACCTCAGCACTATGAATTCAAGCTGTTTCAGTGGTTTTGGACAGAAGAAAAATGAAAATAATAGTGGAGGATCAGAATAGCTTTGCACTCAGATAAGGAGGGCTGAGCTGAGATCATTCCCAAAGCATAGCTTTGCATTTTATCTATTTCTGGTGGATACTGGCATGGCAAATTGGATGGACAATTTCAGGTGTGTTGTGCCAATGGAATGGGAGAACAAGGGGGTGGGATGGTTCTTAGAGCACTGCGAGAGGATTTCTCTTGTATTGGCATCCTGTTTGCATTGACCTGTGAGCATCCATGACTCCTGGCTTAGGAAAACTTATGCATCCCTCTTGTTCAGGGTTCTAGGGTTTACAACTCTAGGCCAAGGAAGATCAGTTCTAGAGTATGTCACAAGCATCTTTGTGTTGAGACTGACCACCTTGCAGGGGAGGTAATATCCTGGTCTTGGCCAGCATTGCAGAATTCTGTGTGGTGGCTTTGTCCAGGATCTGCTGGAGTGCTTTTCCCAATCTTTATTTTCCTCTCTCCCAGAAGAGAGATGCTTTGCCAAACACGATTAGTTGTTGAAACAGTTCAGTTCAAATAATCTGCTTTCTTCATTATTTAAAGTCACTCTAGACCTTCTCTTTAAAATAATACACAAAAGATAGTTAAAGTTCAAGGTACAGGATAAACTAGAAGGAATTTGTCCTCAACACCCATTAATTCACCTAGTTTTAGCCAGGACTTTAAACCATTTGTGTGAATAATTCCAGACAGCTTTAAAATGTCCAGCCTGAAGAGGAAGCAAAAGGGTTGGAGGTGTTTGTGAACCACCTGCACTTCTATAGAATCACAGAATGGCCTGAGTTGGAAAGGACCTGAAAGTTTATCACCTAATCCCAAGCCAACTAACAATGTTGTTTCTTAAATGCAAAGTAAAGGCTCTTACTGCTATTTCAGTGCTAGGGCAGGGCTGGAATATGACACTGCAAATATAAAAGAATTTATTAGGAATCCCCAGTAAATCCTTATACTTCTGGGCCCTCTTTTGGCCAAACCTGGTAATGCAAAACTGAGGAGTACTTCAAGTAATGGGAATTGCAACTTCAAGCCAAATGTTACACTAACCAGATCATGTTTTTCATGCTTATTGGCATGCAAGAGCAATTAAATACAAATTTTTAAAAACAGTATCTCTACACTGGAGGTTCTTACTAATAGTGAAATCAGAAAAAAAGTTGCAATAGAAAAAGTTGCAATTAAAAAAATGTCCTGTAATTGGACTCAAACCTGTCTGGTTTAGAGTCAATTAAATCACATAAAACTCAAAAGTAAAACAATACTTTAAAATATAAAATACCCATGTTGTGATGATAGACTCAGTTTATATTAAAAGCATAAAAATCAAAATTAAAGTAATAACTTTAAAAAGTAGAAAAAGAAATAACCATATTTTAACAAAATTAATATTTCAGAAAACAACCAAATATTTGAAGAAAGACTAATGGTATGCTGACTAAATATATTCATTCTAAAGTTTAAACTTTGCCTTAAAATTAACTTTTCTCTTATCCATGTAAAAATGATAAATGTCTCAGACAGTAATTTTTAGGGATCCCAAGGATTCCTTTGCACTGGGACACCTAGCACTCACCCAAACAAATCCCATGTACAATTTTGGAGTCAGTCAGAGCACACTGGCTCTGACCACCTTGACTGGAAGAGGAACAAAACTTTTCTGTAAGGACATGAACTGTGATGATGTTCCAGGTAGCTGCACAAAGAGTGGACAGTGCCAGACACAAGTAAATTTGCAAGTATAGAGATCCAGTGACTTTCCATAATGATATAGGAATCAATACAATCAATAATCAGGTGTGGCATTCTCCAGACATTCTGTTTTCATTCTCATGAAGTGGGAAGAATGGATTACATGCATTACTGGAGTTTGGAACTCTTCTCTACTCAAGCTGCCTTTGTCCCCAGAATTTCACCCTTCTCAGTCACTCTTCAGTCTCTACATAAATGTGTTTTCCCTTCAGACTTTCAGGATGTCCATGTGATGATATTTGTTGGATTTGGCTTCCTGATGACCTTTCTGAAGAAATATGGATTCAGCAGTGTTGGTTTCAACATGCTTATTGCCGCCTTCGGTCTCCAGTGGGGAATCCTGATGCAAGGATTTTGGCATATGGAAAGTGGGAAAATTTCTGTTAACATTGAAAGGTATGTGTTAATTCACAAAAATTGTCTTAATTCACAAAAATCCCTAAAGATACCAGGAGAAGCCATAAATCACAACATCTATGGGGTCAGCCTAAATTAAACCTAAATTTCGTTAAGCCTTACTGTCTTCCTCTCTTCTATCCTTCTGCCCTTTACCTCTGAGGGGGCCACTCCTGGTGCACTGGGCCAAAGTTGGTGAAGAAATTTGGGGTGCTACCTTGTGTGTGGGAGGTGTGGGTCCTGTGAGAGGTTGCTCTGAATCTCTGAAGCTGTGGAAGCTGGAAGATCCCCAGCAGTAGCACAGCACATCCTGCACCCAGCAGGCATGGAAGGATCTGTCTTTCCATGACACATGGGGTCACAGAAGAAAGGCTGGAGCAGCATGTCTGTGCACTCACAAGGTTTTCTCTTACTTCCCAAGGAATGATGTCCATGAGCATCATTCTCCAGCAGGGTCTGAACACCAATCACAGAATAAGAGACCTCATGGCAACGTCTCTAATCACATTTAATGCCCCTCCTCTTCACCTGTCCTGCCTCTACCAAGGTCTCAGAGTGTTTTCCACATCTACAGTTCTGTTTTCTGAGACGACTGGTAAACAATTTTGAAATGAACAGCATCCAAACATTACTGAGGGGAAAGCAGGAATGATACAAGTAGTTCCCTCATGCTTATAGGCAGGCACCTTCAGAGGGACCCACAGGTTAGTGCCTCTCTATGCCCTAAGTTTTTGATCAATTTCTGGTTTTATTTACCTTTGCCAATCCCCAAAACACATTAACACTGGTCCTGCCTGACAGCTCATGCAAAGATGGTGCACAGACAGGTGTGCAAGGCTTCCAGGATTATATAAACCATCTGAACAAAGACCTCTCTGTCATCTTTGAAGCCTAGGTGGCAGTCAGGGCTGGAAATTGAGAGGCTGGAACATGTCTAGAGCTGGAAAAGAGTCTGGAGCACAGGTCTGAGGAGGAGCAGCTGAGGGAGCTGGAAAGGGGCTCGGCCTGGAGAAAAGGAGGCTCGGGGGGATATTCAGGCTCTGCACAGCTCCTGACAGGAGGGGACAGCCAGGTGGGGTCAGGCTCTGCTCCCTCTGCACAAATGAGCGACAGGACAAGTAGAAATAGCCTGAAGTGACAAAAAGAAATCACACCAAGATTGGATATTAGGAAAGATCTCTTCACAGAAAGGGTGGTCAGGCATTGGAACAGGCTGCCCAGGGAAGCTGTGGAGTCATCAGCCCTGGAAGTGTTTTTAAAAACCTGCAGAGGTGGCATTGAGGGACTTAGTTTAGTGGCAGCCTTGTCAATGAAGGGTAAAATGGTCTTAAAGACCTTTTCTAATCTAAATGATTCTGTGATTGGACGCAATGGTCCAAGAGACCTTTTCCAGTCTAAATTATTCTGTGACTCCATGACATCCCAGTACATCCCCATACACTTCTCATCTGCCTTTTCATCATAATTCCAACTAGCTAAGCACATATATGGTGTAAGCAGAAGAAAACCTTCTACACTTACTTTTCATTAGCTGGTAAGATCCTTACAAATCCATCTGGAAAGGTTTGATTTAATTTTTATCCATGGAGATGAACTTGAAAACGTTTTACCCAAAGAGTTAAAGCTCTATAATTTTAATGATATCATTTTAATGTCATGTTGGATATTAAACAGCTTTTGAACTGATTTTCTTTTATTTTTCTGTTTTGGGTTTTTGTTTTCTTTTTCTTACCTTCAGCATGATAAATGCAGACTTCAGTACAGCAACTGCTTTGATTTCGTTTGGAGCACTCCTGGGGAAAACAAGTCCCATTCAGATGCTGATCCTGACTCTCCTGGAGATCACCATGTTTGCATGCAATGAACACCTAGTTACCAAAGTATTCAAGGTACAACTATTTAGCAATCCTTGTTTTCTCTTTATAACAAATCCTTTCACAGGCAGGCAATGAACACCTAGTTACCAAAGTATTCAAGGTACAGCTATTTAGCAATCATTGTTTTCTCTTTATAACAAATCCTTTCACTTTTTAATACTTCCAGTTTGCTTAGTCTAGGCTCTGATTTCTACCACAGAATTAAACTATTAAGTCCTCCAGACTTCTCATTCATCAGACCCTTGTCTTTATGCTGTATAAAGTCTCTGGCATTATTTTGGGTCCCTGTTACAGGCCACAGATGTTGGAGCTTCCATGACTATCCATGCTTTTGGAGCTTATTTTGGTTTGGCTGCAGCTTTCGTCTTGTATCGTCCTGGTCTGACAAACAAACATGACAATGATGAATCCACCTATCACTCGGACATGTTTGCCATGATTGGTAAGTGAAGGAATATCAGAAGTTGACCAGCTGTTCATCCCTCCCCCATCTCTATTTTTTTCTGATTGCCTATTATTATGCTACATTAATTTTCCTAAGTACACTTCTGGAGGCAAATTCCCTTTAGTCTCATTAATTCACCATTAATTCATTTTCAGTGGCACACATATTTTTACAGTTTTTCCTTGCTTCCAAGGATGGAAAGATCAAATAAAATATGTGTTTTCACTGTACATTAGTGGTGACTTCCTTTCTGTTAAATCTTTTACTTTTCAGCAGTATTTCCAAAGCAATTGTCCATATTTTTACAGTTTTTCCTTGCTTCCAAGGATGGAAAGATCAAATAAAATATGTGTTTTCACTGTGCATTAGTGGTGACTTCCTTTCTGTTAAATCTTTTACTTTTCAGCAGTATTTCCAAAGCAATTGTCCATAATTATTGGATTGATTTGTGCCTGTCAGGGTAATGAATACCAGAAACCATATATCTATCTGTCTATGAGAACTGTTCATAGACCAATTCACCAGCTAAAACTTTAAGTTGTATTGATAGATAGAGGATTTGCATGTGAGTTGTGTTTCCTGTGCCTCCTGCTCTGGCTGGGGTTTCACAGTGCTGGTGAGCTCTAACAGTGAGAGGGGCATGACAAGGGGTCATCAAAGCCTTCCAGTAAGACTTGAAAAGAGACCATGTGTCAAAATCCCAGCTGCCAGTGTCAGAAAAGCTTCTGCGTATTCTATTATTTCTTCCAGAATTGTGGCTATTCCATGTTTCTCATTAATCGTCGTCCTCATTTCTTTGTAGCTCTGGTGTATTTGCCCTTGTGACTAAACAGTTTTTGCTTTGTTTTGACTTCTGTTGATCCAGGTACCCTGTTCCTTTGGCTTTTTTGGCCCAGTTTTAACTCTGCCATTGCAGAAGCCCAGGTTACAGCCATTATCAACACGTACTACTCCTTGGCTGCCTGTACCATCGTAACATTCGCCCTGTCCAGCTTGGTGGATAAAAGAGGCAAATTCAGTATGGTAAGAATCACACCATAACCCTTGTTAAATCGAGTCAACCCTCTGCAATAAGGATGAGTAGGCAGATTCCCAGTGCCCATCCATCTGTCCAGCCTATCTGGAGCCTTTCCCCATACTATGGCCAGAATTAGAGGTATTATACTTGTAAAACCTATAAAGTCTGATGAGAAATGGCTGAGAGAGCTGTGGGGGCTTAAGAGAAAAGGAGGCACAGGGAGGATCTTTTCACTCTCTACAACTCCCTGAGGAGGAAAGGTTCAACCAGGTGGGGCTTGGTCTCTTCAAATACCAAGTGACAGCATGAGAGGAAACGGCCTCAAGTTGCATCAGGGCTGGTTTAGACTGAGTATTAGGAGAAATTTCTTCACAGAAAGGGTTGGAAAGCAGTGTAGTGGATTGGGAATATGTTGTTTGTACTGGTTTAATGGTTGGATTTATTAATCTCAAAGGCCTCTTCCAGCCTTAATGATTCTGTGATGATTCTCTCTCATTCACAGAACCTGCTGGACCACAGAGACATTAGTCCAGTGTTCAGGTGGACTTTTGAATCTTATTCCAAAGTTCCTACTTGAGTTTCCTTATTACAGCAGCCAAAAATAGGTCTCTCAAGGAAATGAGCCATTCCCTGGAAATCTCAGTGCATCTTCACTGTGGTGGTGTTCTCAGGGGTCCCAGGATGAGAGAAGAGACAAGAATCTTGACTCCATGTTTCAGAAGGCTGATTTATTATTTTATTATATATATTATATTAAAAGAAAATTATATATTAAAACTATACTAAAAGAATAGAAGAAAGGATTTCATCAGAAGGCTAGCAAGGAAAGGAATGGAATGACAATAAAATCTTGTGACTGACCAGACAGTCCAAGACAGCTGGACTGTGATTGGCCATTAATTAAAAACAAGCACATGAGACCAATCACAGATCCACCTGTCACATTCCACAGCAGCAGATAATCATTGTTTACATTTTGTTTCTGAGGTCTCTCAGCTTCTCAGGAGAAAAATCCTAGCAAAAGGATTTTTCAGAAAATATGTCCGTGACACTCCACAACAGACAAAACCAAACCAGCTTCTGTCCCCTTGCCCTAAAATCCATCTCAGTGTGCACCCACCCCTTTCCAGCAGCTGCAGTTGTTTGAGCCCAGCATGTGCAAGGGAGCCTTGAGAGGCTCTCAGCCCTAAAACAAGCCGCTGCTCCTCCTGTGCCACCTCTGCCTTGCTCTGTGTCCCCTCTGCAGGTTCTCATTCAAAATGCCACCCTGGCAGGAGGAGTAGCAGTGGGTACCTGTGCTGACCTGGAAATCCACCCTTTCTCTGCCATGTTCATTGGGGTCATTGCTGGAATTGTCTCTGTCCTTGGGTTCCAGTTCCTGACTGTAAGTATTGGGGACCCAGCTCTGCTCCCATTTTTTATTTCTCTTTGGCATTCCTGGAGCTCCCTTGGTTTGCTACAAAGGGAGGATAGATACAGTAAATCCAGGTAATGGTGACTTTTATTAATAATTTGATTCTCGTACTTCTGCTCTTTCTTTTGCATACCATCTAGAGATCATGGAAAACCATTAACTCACTATAAACTTCCTATTTCCCCTCGTTTCAGCCTGTGATGGCATCCAAGTTGAGAATTCAAGACACTTGTGGAGTTCATAACTTACATGGTTTACCTGGAATTCTGGGGGGTATTGCTGGCATCGTAGTGACTGCGATAAAAACAGAAATTAGGTGAGTTATAGAGAGAAGAGAGAAAAGATTTTTTATTTTTGAAGGTCTGTTATAATTTGCTACCTAATTTGGATTATGACTTTTTTTCAGAAATGCATTATTGATTTGATGTCAGGCATTGTATTCTCATTTAATTTGGGTTCTTCTTGATCTTTTGCCTTTAACACACTGTTTAAATGCCAAGCTTGTTAGAGATTAAAAGCTCAAATAAAAATAAATAAATTAAAACATCACAAAGAAACAGCACACTGAACCATTCAAACATAGAACAACCCTTATTATGACTCCACAATTGCGCTGTTGGTATTTGTAAGATTTAAAAAAAAAAGGCAAAATGGCTTTTTTCCACTATTTCCTAAGACTCTAAAAAGATAAAATGCTGGTTGTTTTGACAAAAGGGAGTATTCTCTAATGGCTTACAGGACATTAATAACCTTCTCAAAGAACTTGTTTTCAACTGTAGCCTAAAAGAAAGTTAAATTAAAGTCGTGAGTTCCTTCCAGTACACGGCAATGGCAGGATTTGTTGGACTCAATGTTCTTGGAGATCTTTTCCAACCATAAAGATTCTAGGATATTTTCCTATCAATCACCTTGTCCAGCATGCAGCAAGTACAAGTTGTAAGACTGATCATCAGTCTCAAAGTGTAACAATTGTTTGATGGGCAAAGGTTTTGTTTTTTACTCTTTTCAGGAATGGTCACGAGCTGACTCCTGCCATGCAGGCTGCTGCCCTGGGAAGTACACTTGCAATTGCAATTGTGGGAGGAGCACTCACAGGTCAGTGTGATGCTTATAGTGACTAAAAAAATATATTAATTTAGAGGTTTCTCCATGGAGAACTTGAATGTGTCAACAATTTTGTGTGAATAATAAAAAAATTGAAAGAATGGGCCCCAGTGTCAGAAACTCAAATATGGAAAAACATTTTTCCAATGTTTTTGTCTTCAAATTAAGTTCAGGTTTGTCAGGAAGAATTTCTTCTCTGAAAGGGTGGTCAGGCATTGGAAGGGGCTTCCCTGGGAGGTGGTGGAGTCCCCATCCCTGGAGGTGTCCAAGGAGTGATGGGATGTGGCACTCAGGGCTCTGGTCTGGTTGACAAAGATGTTCTTTGATCCAGGATTGGACCTGATGATCTTGGAGGTTTTTTCCAACCTAAATGTTTCTGTGATTCTGTGATTCTGTATATCTCACTGTAAACATGCTCCAAAGATACTGAGTTTTATACCTATAGGAATAATAAGGTGTTTTTCTGGAAGGAATTCTTCTCCAGATTCAGACACTTCAAATTCTGAACAGAAACTAGTCTGAGATCAAGACCTACTCAATGAGGTGTCACATGTTTCCATGTGTTTGTGAAAACTTCCAAACAAACAAACAGAAAATCAGGCTGAAACAGAAAATTTTGGTCTGAAATCTGGTCAAATAAAAGCAAGCTCTTATTTATGCTCTTATTTATGTTTGTATGAAGAAATCAGCATCACCTCTCACAATAATTGACCTGATATCCCAGGATGGTTGAGCATTTCTGTAGAGGAGGAAATCAGTCAGAAAACTTAGCTGGATGTCTAGGGCACATCTGAGGGACATTAATTTGGTAATTGTCTTCATTTTTTTAAACCTCTGGTTTTCCTGCAGGTGCTATTCTAAAGATCCCTTTCTTGGGACAAGTATCTGACCAGAACTGCTTTGATGACTCTGCTTATTGGGAGGTAAGATGCAACTCCTTTCATTTTCATTATATTGGAGGATGTACAGCCACTGCAGCCTCACTCTCCTGGGCTTTGTGGTTTGCACACATGAGTCAGAAAGGCTGCCTGTTCAAAATTCAAAAATTCAAAATCCTGCTCTACCTCAGGCTGTGAATTTATCAAGGCCAGGCCACCTTCAGGATAACTTTTGGCCTTCTTAGGTAATCATGCCTTTCTCATTGGACTCACATTGAACGAAAAGCAGAAAAAGACACAACAAATTGATATCACAGTGGAGGCCTTTATCTCTCTCTTATGTGCTCACTGTATCAGGTATCCTCTTCCTTATCAGAAACTGATAGCATATTCTTAATTTTGTCAATATAAACTTTATTGTTTTATGCCAGGACAAACCCAAATAATATACATTCCTTGTAAATAAAATGTGAAGTTAAAGGAAATTTTATTCATTTTCTTCAATAAATTAAACACTTTTTCTATTAAGAAAACCCTGAGTTCATCCCTCAGTATACAGAATTGATGGCTCATGTCAGGCTGCATCAATGTTAATAAACAGACGTACATTATATATAAATAGAATTCAATTTTTGGCACATTTTAGTCTTCTTTTATGGCAAAAGCAAATCTATATATCCTTAATTGAGCTCTTCTTTGTTTTTCATGGCAGGTTCCAGAGGAGGAGACAGTGCCTGAAATTCACTCCAGCCACCGTGATGAGCACAGCAGATTTGAAGCTGCCATGTAGAAAAATTATTAATCTGCAGTATTTGTCCTAATGATGCTCTTTTCCGTTTCCAATGCTAAGAAACAACATCCAAGTATTGTCCCAACCACACCAGGTTTTCAAGAAAAGGCTGAAGATGTGTATATTTTTGTAAAAGAAAACAAGTTTTATTTTAGATTACTTAGTCATTATGCCAAGCTCAGGCGAATAAATTAGGTCTTTCTAATATATTTGTTCATCAGAAAAAGGCACCACAAATTGCTCTTTAAAATTATCTATATATTATCTTTTGTTGTCACTGACAACAATATAGCTGTTGTAATAAATTTTGAGTTTCAAGATTATTACAGGACAATATATTTGATTGAGAGATTTCTGAGTTACATACTTCAACTGTATAGGGGTAATAAAAAAGAAATTAATTGATATTTTTTATATGGATTTGAAAAAACTTTTCACCAGAGTACCCCAGCTTAAATTTTTGAGAGAGTGTGTTGTCCTGTTTTCTGATGGAGGACAAAACATGCTGTATTTTGAAGCTTGATTATGACAGGAAGCAAAATGTTGAAATAATTCTTATGGCAAAGAACAGAATACAGTGATTGATAAGGTAATATGAGTATCAAGATTCATTGTTAATATGTTTTTTGAAAGGGAAAAGAAAGTGAAATTGTAAAAAAATCATTATTGTCATAGATCTATTTATTTATTGTCATAGATTTAGTTAGTTTCAAGGACATAATAAGGGAACTGAGTAGGAGCTATGAAAACCAAGTGATTGCATAATAGGTTTTATTCTATTCAACAGTAATAAGTGGATTGTAGCAATGTTAATTGTGGTATTCACATGCCCTCTGAACAGAGAGAAGCTGTGAGACAAGCAGAGAAAAAGGAAAACACAATTCTTATCTCACTTGCTGTGCCTGTTTTGTGCTAAAGTAGAATGCAATGTGGAGATTGTTTACCCAAAGTGAGGATGTTTTGTTCCCTGGGCCTATCAGGGCCAAGAAATGTGTGTGTGTGTCAGACTGTAATGGGAGAGAGAATCAGAGATGAGTGCAGTGTGAGCAGTTGTGAGCAAGAGTGAGTGCATGGCAGATCCAGTTTAGATAAAATGTACATAGTATAGTATAATAAAGCAATTCCTTAGCCCTCTGATGATGGAGTCAGAGGCATCATTCTCTCACCCCCTCATTGGAGTCACCTTTGATTTACAATAGTTAATGGCAAGAAATATAGCCTGGACTAATGCCAGCTCCAGAAAAACATGAATTGTTTGGAACTGATTGGAAAGAAATTATGTTCAACCTGCAGAAGACTCGGCAGAGAGCTTTCATGGGGCGAGTCACTGACTCTGAAATCACTTTCTTCTAAAAGAAGTGAAAGCAAAAAGAAGAAAACTCAAGCTAAATTGAGGGAAATTAACTTCATCAGAGAAGTGATGACAGTGGCTGCTCAGTCCGGAGACAAAAATTGAGGCAGCTGAAGGAATTCCATGAAGTGCCTTCCTGCACAGGATAATCCATTGAGAGACAATGGATGGGAAGTGGAACTCAAGCAGCAGGAACACAGTGCCGCAATCCATCATTCATGGAAAGTTACTGCTGATGTCTGAATAACAAGCCAAAGAGGGTGAACTTTCAACCTTTTTTTTTAATACTAGGATCTTATTTCAAGTCTTACTTATCAAACTTAGGGGAAAACTCCTCTCATATAAAATAGCACATACATTTTAATTTCTGCTGATGTATTTTTCCTTGAAAATCTTTAGAAAGATATAGGTAGGGCTGTCCCATATGTTATACCTGCTGTATACTGCTACATATGTCAGATTTCTATCCATGAATAAAAATACATTTGTTGTATCACACTCTAGTTCAGATAAGCTCTTTTGCAAATGTTCAATGACTGACTCTCTTCTACCTTGTTGGCTGTAAGATGACCTTTATCCTCTCAAAGGTGTCACACATTCATTTTTGTAAAAATTGGGGAAGCATTTAGCAATGTAAATATTGCATTTGTAAAAATTTTAGAAGTATTTTGTGCATAATTTATGAAATGTTGAAGTACTTGAAAAATATTCATGTCTGATCAGCCTGTAAAAATCTTATCTTCAATACATGAATTTCACCCCTCAAATTCCTGCTTGGGAGTTCAGAGGGTCATTCATTTACCTTAAAGCAGGTGAGGTAATTTCACTAGTTTTGAGTGTTGACCACACAGGAACACCTGAGTGAGGAAGCATCACCCACTGGCAGTAAATTCATAATTTGAATTACAGCAATTAATAATTTGAATTGGTTGGAAAATACATCCAAGATCATCAAGTCCAACCTTGGAGGGATTATCATCATGGCCAGTAAATCCCATTGAGAATGTCATGTCTACTCACTTTTGGAACACTTCCAGGGATGGTGACTCTCCTGCTTCCCTGGGGAGCCTGTTCCAGTGTTTAACCTCTCTTCCAGTAAAGAATTTTTTCCTAATATCCAACCTAAACCTTCCCTGGTGATTGATGCCTTCAATAATAACATGTAGGGGTTCTTTTAAAATCCAAAAGGGAAAAAATGAACTATACATTTTTGTTTTGTAGCTCTCCTTGTAATCTTTCCATAGTAATCCATACCCTCATCCTCTCAGTATTCATTGTCCCCCAAACTTCTTTTTCAGAATATTCCTCTCCCAGAGAAATCAGTCCCTTAGGGTCTCTCAAAAAACAGAGTAAGGAGATAAATCCCTTTGCTTTACCAGAACTTGAAATGCTATTTTTTTTCCATTCAGCTTGAAGTATACAACTTCTTTCTCCAAAGGTTTTTACCCTAATTGCTCATTCCCGCATTGCCGATGCCAGTGGCATTTGGTTCTCTGGCTTATGGCATTTTCTTTGGTTGCTTATTTCCCAATTAGTCAAAACTTTGAATCAGCAGAGCTTCATAAATAATCAGTTACAACTTCTGTGCAATACATGACTGGATGCTTAAAAGACAAAAGTTGAAATTATTTTACTAAAAACCCTTTTGTTCTTCCATGAGGAAGCCTTATACTTGCAGGAAAAGAAAGTGAAGAGTTAAACAAGACATGGAGTGAAGGATGAGCTTAAAGGATGGGACTGAAAAGTAAACAAAAGTTAAAGTACAACTAGCCTAAATTTGAGGCTCATGATCATCAGCATTTCTCTTCTTTCTCATAAAAGACTGGCAATGTTTTATCCCTTCCAACAACCACCCAACACTCTTCCTGTCTTACCTTTGTTCTCACTTTGACATTTTTTACATTAAGAGAGTTTATATAAGGCATTGTAGAGTGGGGGTTTTTTAGGGTTTTGAGGTTTTTTGTTTTTTTTTTTTTTAATGAGTAAAACTTCAATGATATCTTCTTTAAACTAACTAAAGGTCAAACTTACTTTAAATTAACTAAAGGTCAAGCTTACTTGTCAGCCCTTTTTAGACTACCAGTGGGTGACCATAGCTTTGAAGGCTGTTGTATAATTCTCCATTTGTACCTCTGTCAGAGCAGTATCTTTGTATTTCATTACTGAAAAGGAAATGTATTTGAAAGCCATTGGCTGAATATTTGCTTACAAAATTTATTTTAACATTTGTGCTAAAATCTGCTGCTGAATAAATGCGTTAATTGAATGATCAGATGACCAACTGTATTTATTTGACATTTCTTGGGGATGTCTTCTTTGTCTCTTACTGGGATCAACCTTTTCTCAAAATATATTCTCAAATATATTATCTCAAATATAATATTCTGTATATATTATTTATCAAAATATATATAACAAAATATGTCTCGTCTTGCCAAAGAAGAGCTCTTCCTGTTCTTCTAAGCCCCCTGCAAACTGTTTACCTTTCAGCTTCCTCTCATTTCCTTGCTATTGGTTAAATTCCAGATATATGTGGAAAATTTTACATACTCAGTGCCTTTTTACCCACTCTGGAAAAGTGAAGTAGAATCAGGCAAACTGGAGCACAGCTGAATGCTGGCCATGGACTTTTTCCAGGATATCTTCCAGGTGGGTGAGATGTCCTGGTCTCTCCTCTGGAGCCCCTGGAATCAGCACCAGGCTCAGGGTGAGCCAGGCCAAGAGCGGCTTTGCTCAGGTCCCTCTCTGTTGGGGAAGATGAAACAGGAATGCCTTATAAATATGATTGTCTGGCAAAAGATTTTGAGAATATAGAAACTGTAAGCGAAATTGAAATGAAGCAAGCTTTGAGATCCCTCAGTTACTGAACAAGTGGAAAACAATGGTATGGCCAGCTGAAGGTAATCCCCTTTTGCTGAAACAATACCCTCTGCTTGCAGACAGGCCCAAGGGTCAGAGTAGACCCTACCAGCTTGGCAGAAGGGGTCCAAAGAGGAGTTTTTAGAGTTTAAAATGTGACACAGTATGGTAATGTAATGATTCTTATAGCCTGTATGGAAATGCTGTAGGATTTGTATATTGTACTAGATTGGCTAGTGAGAATCAGAATATTCAACACAGAGGATGATTTATTGTATTGAAACGGGAACCTCACTCTCTTAGCTCTTGCCTCTTAGCTCTTACTTTTTTATGCTCTTACCCCTTTTACTCTCTTATGCTTTTACATTCTTACCCTCTCATCCTCTCTGCTCCTTTCTTCTCTCGGGCCTGCTCCAAGCTGTGGCTGGCAGCTCCCAGCAGGGCCCTGCACCCAGGCCCTTTGCAATAAACCCCAAGTTCCATGATCTGGCTTCAGAGATCTCTCGTCTCCGTCCGTCCCGACTGTGCTACCCCCTGATGCTCCTACACTCTCCCAGCCTGGCTCAGGTCCCACTCCCAGCCTTGCTCAAGGCCCCACTCCCAGGTTTGCTCAAACCCCTCTCCCAGTCTCCCAGCCATGTGCCAGGGCTCTTTTCCTCTGGGTCTCTGCTGCCCCATTCCCTGGGGAATTCCCCCATTCCCTCCTCTCCTCTGCCTCTGGCCATGTCTCTGCAGGGACCCTGACACCTTTGGGAGAGGAGGACAAAGGGCTCAGCTTTGAGGCACTGCACCTTACACAAGCTTCAGGTTCTGGCCTCAGGGCCACATGAAACTTCATGTTCAAGATTTCTGCTGGAAAACTCTTCCAAACATTGTTCTACGGACTGTGACTCAACTTCTTTGTCCAGTCTTCCCCTTGGCTTGCTCTTTCAACACTTCCTGCTCTGCTGTTCCCTCTCTGAGACACCTGAGATAGGCTGTACCTCAGCCCCCTTTACTCAGCCAACAGAGGACATCTTTTCCCAGTGCTGTGTCCAGTTCTGTGTCCAGTCCATATCTCCAGTACCAAAGAGATATGGACAGACTGGAGAGAGTCCAGCAAAGGGCCACAAAGGTACTGGAGTGATTGCAACATCTCTCACATGAGGAAACAGAGAGGTGGGAGTTCAGCCTAGAGGAGGGAAGACTCAGCAGGATCTTATCAGTATAAACACCTGGGGGGAGGATCAAATAAATCAGAGCCAGACTCTCCTCAGTGTGTGCCCAGTGCCAGGACCAGAGGCCACGGGCACACACTAAAACACAGGAGGTTTCAGGAATTTTCAGAAGGTTCAGCTCTGAACATCAGGAAACACTTTTATATTGTGAGAGTGACTAAGCACTGGCACAGGTTGCCCAGAATATGTGGCATCCCCCTTCTTAGGATCATATAATTTTATAGGTCCTTGGAATTGTTCAAAACCTGTCTGGACATAGGCTGGGGCAAATGGCTCTTGGTGACCCAGCTTGAAAGGGGGATTGGACCGGACAAATTCCAGAATCCCCTCCAACCTCAATAATTCTGTAATTCTGTGATTTCAAATTCCCAATGAATTCAACGGAATCAAAGTGATGCTACCCATAAACAGTTCTGTGAAAAGGCCTGGGAAGCATGGGAGAAAGCAATTGCACAATCTGAAAACAGGAAAGGTGTCCTGTTTCCTCAAACCTTGAGAAAAAAAAACAGACTGTCAGGCTGATGGGTTTATTAGAGGCCTGCAACTGGGTTATGTGTGAAGAACTGAACAGAGATTCTCACACTAAGTGTGTGAGTACTGTTTTAACTGTGTAAAAACAGATGCATCTGCTCTCACCTTGTGAGTCTCACATTCATACATCACACACTTTAAAAAAAAATTAATCTCTTTGCACTACACCCCTGGGCAGTGGAATTTTGATTCCTCAGGGGTATCAAGGATATCTGTGCTAAAGGCAAAAACATGATTAATCAGTAACCTACACAGCGTGCAGAATTTATGGCTTTTATGGCAAATGTCAGGTTGATGACCTGAAGTTATCCCTGTTCTTGGACTTTCACACTTGCCCAGTGACCCATACTCACCCAGTTACATTGGCTAGCAAACATATATATGCTCCTGTAGCCTTCTGAGAGTTCATTAGGAAGCACATGGGAAAAGAACAAGAATAAAAGACATCCTTCTATAGAAAAAGTTTTATGGACTAACACAAGAGCCTCTCAAGCACAATTATTTCAGGAGGACAGAGATCCAGAGTCCACATTTTCTCTTTTCTGTGACAAATACTTGGCTGAATAGAGATGGGCTGGAACAGCAGCACTTCCATTGGTTTTGTGTTCATCCTGGCTTTTCTCTCCATTCTGAAAACAGCAGGTTTCTGGAACAGCAGCACTTCCATTGTTTTAGTGTTGATCCTGGCTTTTCTCTCCATTCTGAAAACAGCAGGTTTCTGGAACAATGACCGAAGACAGAACTTTCCTCCAGGTCCAAGACCATTACCTATAATTGGAAACCTTCTTTTGTTTGACTTGAAGAGACCCTACAGAACTTATCTAGAGGTACTCATTTTCTTTTCTGTTGGTCCTATCAAGGAAGCCCCATAGTCCAAGATGTCAGAGAGTTTCTCCTATTGCACCCAATGTATTGCATCCATGCATGAGCCTTCAGCAAGGGACCCAGAGATGGTTATTTGAGCAGAAAATGTTGAATGCAGCATGGTTTCTTGACTGTAATATTTTATCCAGGTTTCAGCCTTCAACAACTTTCAAATTAATAGCAAGCATCCACCTTATTTTGGTGGTAATTTTGAGAAAAAGATAACAGAATAAGGAATGATTTTGATATGTGGTGTAACCCTCTCTGCCTTCAGCTGATTGATGTACCTGGAGCTGTGACTGCAGCATCTTGACTTCACTGATTTATCAGCATTCTCATCTCCCTTTCCTCTTTTCTTCCCCAAAAGTTGATGATATAACTATATACTCTTAATATTCAGGGCCAACCTTTGCCAAAATATTAAATCTTTCAGTTTTCTTCTAGTGCTTTCTTTACTTAGCTTATTGCAGAGCTTTGCTGACTTTGAGTTAGAAGAGTTCTATGAACCTGCTCCTTTTCTTAGAGTTTTTTTCTGTTTAGACATTAAAATTACACATCTTCCCTGCTGATGATTTTGAAAGGCATATTTGCACCAACAAACCTATATGGATGTTGTACCCACAAATCAGAAGACTGCTAGGATGCAATATCTGGAATATCACTGCAGCTCTCCCACACAGTCCAGTCGTGTTGGCAAAAGCAAGTTCCATCTGTTTTCAGGCCAGCAGAACCAACATGTATCTGCTGTAATTCAGTGATTCCTTTCTGGTGCTGGATACTGGCTCTCTGACTTGAGCACAATTCAGATATGTGTCACTGCTCCTGTTGTTTCAGCTGGCTGTACCTGCTCACCACTTGCTGAACATTTTGCATCTTGATGCTAAATAGATGCCTTCTGTTTCTCTCTGCAAACCCATTAGAAAATGAGTGCAGTCAGGAAACCCCTCACCAGTTGTCAGAAAAATCAGGAACACCAAGTTACATAAAAATAAATCTATCTGTATTGGCTAAAAAACTGCCACATTGTCTCTGAGACAGATTCATGGTGAATGTAATCATGTATAAAAAGTTTGAATGTATCTAATGCTAAATCCTGGCCAAGAAACAAATGGATTTATTTTTAATAAAATAATGGTACCAAACACTTGAACAGGTTGTTCAGCATAGTCTGTGCACAAAAGAAACAATAGCATGGAGCTAAGTGTGAAAATTGAATTTACAAGGGTTTCTGAGGGCAGACAGAACTCTCAGTGCAATCCTTTGCTGACTTGGGGTTTCAGCTGTTGATACTTCTGCTCAGTTTGGCACAATGGAACTCTTCTCCCAACTGTTCCACCACAATGTCTGGCACGTTCCCATCATTTAAACCTGGTGCCTTTCCCTGTAGTTAGGAAAATATCCACCATGTGAGTAACCTAGAGGCAGGACTGGAAAATAAGCAGCACTGGAACAGATGATGAATTTCTCTGTAGCCTGTAAAAGTTGTAAATCACTGTTCTCTTCTCCTGACAGCTGTCCAAAAAATATGGTCCAGTCTTCAGCGTTCAGATGGGGCACAGGAAAGTTGTAGTGATTTCTGGCTATGAGACAGTGAAGGAAGCTCTTGTAAACCAAGCAGATGCATTTGCAGAGAGACCTAAAATCCCAATCTTTGAAGATTTGACTAAAGGAAATGGTAAGTTGGTCTTATTCTTCCTAATCAACTTGACCTATTTTTTTTTCCCCTGTAGAAAAAGCAGGAGCTGGAACAACAGATCAGAGATGTGTTTTTGGATCAGAGATCACAAAAGGCATTGGAAATAGGGAGAAATTTCATTGACTTTAGCACACTTATTCAGTGTTGACAGTGGCAACAAAACAACCATAACCTTAAAAATAACTACAGCAACATAAAATGGACAGTGACACACTTCCAGGGTCCAGAACAGGGCATCCTTGCCAGAAAAGCATTTCTAGCTCTCATGATATGGCTCTGAACTCGTGGGGTTTTGGGCTTATCATAGAAAAACCTTTTCTGAAACTAAAATTCTACTGTTGCTCATCATTTCAGCGGTAAATAGTGTTTTTAAATTCAGAATGTGACAATAGACAGCATGTAGCACATAGAGAACTGTGGATTTATTTTAAAAAGGGAAATACTCTCTAATGAGCTGGATTTCAAAAATAAGAATTTCACACCCAAACTTCATTCTAATTTAGCATAAGAATTTCATATTTATGTCTCCAAAGATCCTTGGAAAAAATCAGGAATAATTCTGTGAACATTTTAACAGCTGTATCTTTTGATCATATTATTGCATAGAAGCTTACTTTTTACTTTTTTTATTAATTTGGGAAAAAAACATAGTTGAGGCCATCAGTTAAATGAAAAGAAATTGTGTGAAAAAAATACAGTGAAAAAAATTGATGGTGGAGGTTTTAAGACATTACCTAATTTTCTAAGACATATTTTCCTACTTAATTTTTTTCCTGCCATCATCAGAGATGTTAGCTCAATTCCTCTTCCAAACTATGATGACCAGCAGTTTGAACTTGAATTTCCAATGTCTGCTTTCTTTCAGTGACAAGTGTCTTTGAGGATATATATTCTTCTTAAGATTGATTAAATAAACCTTAAATATTTATTCTTTGCTTGTGTAATGAACCTATTGCTGAGGATTGAAAATACTTAAGGCACAGTTGTGTGGTTTTCCTCATCTGGATGCAATTTGTTTTAAAAATGACTGCGACTAAACAGCTCCATTCTATGCTTACAAAATTATTTAAAATCTTCTGCTCTATTGAAATGTTATCTTGGTTTCAGGGGTTGTTTTTGCCCATGGTGAAAACTGGAAGGTGATGAGAAGGTTTACCCTCACAGCCCTGCGAGACTTTGGGATGGGCAAAAAGGCCATTGAGGATCGGATCGTGGAGGAGTATGGGCACCTGGCAGAGTCCATTGCCTCCCAGGAAGGTGGGTGGCTCTCAGCACCTCTGCTGGTCACAGCGACTCTGAGATATGCACAAGCTTCTCTTTCCCAGCATGGCTGTCAAAGGAGCAGTCAGGATTCTTTTGTTCTCGTTCTCAAGGTTGTTTATTATTTTTATTTTTTATCTATAACATTCTTTCTCCGACCCGCTGAGGTCTGTCTGGCAGGTTGGGTTGAGGCACACTGATTGCCTTGGGACAGTGTTAACATTTTATATAAAAAATTACATGTACATTATTTACCATAACTTCCCAATCCCTATCACCTATGTTAGACAGTGAGTTTCTACCTTAAACCAACCCAGAAGTGTCACCATCACAGCAGAAGATGGAGGCCAAGAAGAAGAAGAAGGAGAAAGGCTGGACACGCCCAGATTCCTCCATCTTGGCTTCTGAAGCCCCATTCTAAAAACCCCAAAAATCTGTTTTTCACCCCGTGACAAACTTAAGTATTATTCTACTTAAACTTTCTTGTCTTGTAATTCTTCATATAAAGGTTAGTAATTGTTTTTCCATGGGTCAAGATCAAAGGCACAGGTGTCCTGGGCTCTGTGCCAAGGTCTCTGAGCCCCCCGGGCAGGGTCTCGAGTCCTCCAGGGCAGCCAGAGGAACTTCCTGGGTTCCAACAGGTGGGCTATTCATTCTGCAAACCCATGGCATCACAGAATGATTTGGGTTCAAAGGGACCTTAAAGCTCATCCAGCCCCTTCCATGCGCAGGGACACCTTCCCTTACCTAGGCTGCTCCCAGCCCTGTCCAGCCTGGCCTGGAACACCTCCAGGAGTGAAGCAGCCACAGCTTCTCTGGGCAGCCTGTGCCAGGGCATCAGTACCTTTAAGGTTTTGTCCAAGTATGCAAAGGCTTTTTGAGCCTTCTCAAGTTCAGATCTTTTTAGGAAATGTACACCAGTTTGATGAATTTGGCTCCTCTGGCATTTTTGTGTCCTGCTATGGCATTCTGACATTGGATAATAATCAGTGTTAGCAATCAATCATAAACAAATAGCTATATTTAATAATAAATTTATATTTACAAATTACATCTCTTTATTACAATGTAACAAATTCTCTTGTTCCTTGTCTAGGAAATCCCATTGATGCCAGCAAAATAATTAATGCAGCAGTTGCTAATATAATTGTGTCAATATTGCTTGGAAAACGATTTGACTACAAAGACCCCAGATTTGTGAGACTTGTAACTATGACCAATGAAAACATGAGGCTTGCTGGGAAACCTTTGGTCACGGTAATGATTCACATGTTTATGTTGCTGTTCCACTGCATGCCAATAGCAATACTGGTGATCAGTTTCTTCTATTAAACAGGAAAATCTGAGACTTTGAGAGATAATTGGTTTACAAAGCACTTTCTTAGACAAAAAACCTTTGAGAGACAGTTTGGGAATCATGAAGTCAACAATCAAGCCCCCAGTCTCTCAAAAACATATTCAAGATAGAGTTTGAAGAGTCCTAGTGAGTGAAAAATACCTTTGTATGTTTGCATGCAATGCTGCCACACCCTGGATTGATTTATGTTTATCTAGGTCTTGAAAAAGAAAAAAAAAATGTTAGTGGAAGAGCGGCCAAAACAATAAAAAAAGTTGCTGGCCAACATTTCCATCTGCCTGGTGGCAGCTTGAAGCTGTTTGAGCCTGACACCTGCGCTACGCCAGAAAAATAGTAATTTTACAAGATTTTTACATCTATTTGGTGGTCCTTGATGAATTTTCTACCACAATTCATCCACTCAGTTTTTCACATTCCTAAAAACAAAATATAAATCATAAGTTTTTGACTTTGTATCTGCAAGGAAGGCCAAATGTTGTTAATTTGTTTCTGTAGTGTTTTCAGAGCTCTGGCTGATAAACTCTCTCTAACAACTTCCACTCTCGTAGATATACAATATCTTCCCATACCTTGGATTCCTCCTAAGGGCAAACAAGGCTCTCCTTCGAAACAGAGATGAATTCCATGATTTTGTACGGGTTACTTTTGTAGAGTACCTCAAAAACCTGGACAAAAATGACCAAAGAAGTTTTATTGATGCCTTCCTGGTTAAACAGCAGGAGGTAACTGAGTATTTTATTGTTGATTCCATCTCTTATGATTCTATGAAGACATTTGGAATTTTCTTTCAGTCCTTACAATTACAGCTGAATTTCTTTAGGGAAGCTGTCTTTGAGAAAATACATATGACAAAGTGGTAGAGTTGAACAGATACTTCATGTTGTTGAAATTCCAACCTCTTTTAATCAGTGAACATTTATCCTTATTTATTTTCTTCAGACTGTATAAATATATTTACCAAGGCTGCATCTTTTTATCTGCTCTCTCTGCTGTCCAAGTTCTTCTGGGTCTTTTGAATACATAACACATTACAGAATGGAATCACTACCTGGGCTTTAGTGGGACTTATTTGGGGTCACTGATATGGCTGGGTCACCTTCCCCATGGGGAAGGCAGATCCCTTTGCAGATGGTCCCAGTAAATACAAAGATATGTCAGCACTCTTCTCCAGGCACAAGCCCAAAGCTCTTCCTTGTCTTTCACACTTCTTTAAAATATAGGATTTATATCTTAGCAAATATTCCTCTACATAAATTGCATTTTTACATGGGAAAGATTTGAGTTTTCAACCTTTTATCTCAACAACTTTTTTCAGGAGAAATCCACTACCAATGGGTATTTCCATAATGGCAACTTGCTAAGCTTGGTGAGCAATTTGTTTACTGCTGGTGTTGAGACCATTTCCACCACACTAAACTGGGGCTTTCTGCTGATGCTAAAGTACCCTGAAATCCAGAGTAAGTGGTTTAATGATAGATACTGTTACACTCAGGGAATTAGTGACCAAACAGGAACCTGGAGGATCAACACATCTGTTAATAGGCCAAGTTACAAAAAGCTGAGATTTCTAGCCAATTATTGTCTCTGTGCCCTCTGGTTCAGACCCAGTGGGGCAGAGTTCATACAGGCCAGGCCCTCTGCTTAGGGAAATCTCATTAATTAGTAAGTAAAGAGTTGTCCTGTGTTGGCCAATGATTCTATTCCAAGTTTCCCTCAGGATCTGTCAATAAACCAAAGGTCTGTGCAGATGTTAAATGAATTGTACTAAGGCTTTAGGGGCCTGAGAGGATTCATGGAATTGCCTTTGTCTGGCAGCTCCATTCCAGCTGATGGCACAGGGTTGTTTGGAGTCAAATGGGGTTTTTGAGACAACCCTTGGGCAGACAATAGATCTTTAGACAGAAGAGATGACAGAAGAAAATAGATTTTTAGACAGAAGAGAAAAAAAGTCTTTAGGTTTCTTGTTGATAAAGAATCAATCAAACACTGTCGTCCTGTTCACCTCCCATTATTTCTGAAAGGAAAAAAAGGTTTTTGGAGAATGTATGATTTTAACTCCAGATCTATTATACTTTACATCAGTAAAGCACACTGTGTCTCAGGGGTGAATGAGTCCTTGCATCTTAAGAGTTGATTCTTTCTTCAGAAAAGGTCCAAGCCGAGATAGAGCAAGTGATAGGATCCAACCCCCCGCGGATCGAGCACCGAGCTCAGATGCCATACACAGACGCTGTCATCCATGAAATTCAGAGGTTTGCCAATATCCTGCCACTGGATTTGCCTCATGAGACTGCTGCAGATGTCACCCTCCAAGGCTACTTCATCCCCAAGGTGAGATGCCTACAGGATTGCTTCTTTTAACATCTCTTCTTTCTGAATTTGTCCACGAATTCATGCCACTGTCCTATTTTGCAGGGAACCTACATCATCCCTTTACTGACCTCAGTCCTGAAAGACGAGTCACAGTGGGAGAAACCAGACATGTTCTACCCTGAGCACTTCCTTGATGCCAATGGGAAATTTGTGAAGAAAGATGCTTTCATACCTTTCTCAGCAGGTGCTTTCTCTTTTACATTTACACAGAACACACAGCAAAGATGATTCTGTGCATTCCTGCTTCCTTTTTCCATGTTCCTTTTAAAAAGTCACAAAAAATGTCAGCTGGGTCAAGTTTTCATAAAGTGTGACAACAAAAAATCCCAAAATTCCGTGTAAAATCAAAGGACAGAAGGGGCTTGCCCTTTGAGGCTTCCCCAGTGTGACATTCACCTGAATTTATACACCTACACGATTTCCCAAATCATGGGAGATTCCAATCCTGCTCCTTCTCTGGCATTTCTCCTGCTTTGCAAGCTCTGTAATTGCTCTCCTCAAGTTCCCATACATCAGTCTCTGGCTAATTTATCTGTCATATCCACAACACTCTCCATTTTTTTTAATCAACCCTATTTGTATATTTTCAACTCTGTATGATCTTTGAATAAGATTTTTTCTTGTCACACTCACCATCCAGTACATTTTATTTTTTTCTTTCTTTATCTTCTTTCTTTTTAGAAGAGCTTATGACACTTCCAGTTCCCAGGTCTTCTTTTCCAGACTTAAGCCTAGATGTCCCAGCTGAAGCACATCCAGGGAATGTCAGGTCTGGGCATTCCCTGGAGAGTTTATTTCATATCACAGCCATTTTCAGTCACACAAGGGTGTTAAAACCAAATTTTAGTTCAGCTTTTTGTTAGTTCTGGCCTTGAATCATCATGCTATGAATAAAGCAGCTTACTAGCTACTGGATTTCACAGGACTTATATTTACAGCACTTTTGAATATTCATAGAATATCTCCTCCACCTGGCTCCTCACCCCACTCTGGCCAGCATTTGTGAATCTTCAAGGAATTTGCTGACAAATTTTCGTATAAAAAATTGCCTATGAGTTGACTAATAGACCTAAAGTCTAGACTAAACCAGTTGGTTTGGAATGCAAAAATTCAGCCAACTAGAAGAAAATTGTGAAAATGAAGTAAAAATTCAGATTTAATTGAAAACTGGAGTTAAGGAATTCAGACTACATTTTCATACATTTCTCTCCAAATGCAAGCATTTAGACAAAGGAAAATAAAAACCATCACCAGCTGGCTTTGGTACGGTACTTCTGAAGATCAAAATTCCTCTTTGTTAACTTGTACCCAAAAGAGTTTTAAAATCTGTGTTCTTTATTCATACCTAGGACATAACATTCAAATGTTCTGGATTCCCACTGACCTTTTTCAGGTCAAGAGCTGATAAAAGGGTTTTTTTTCTTCCAATACTGAAGAAGCAGCTCACTGATTCTCTTGTGGTCCTTTTGCCTTTTGTTCCAGGGCGGAGGATCTGTGCTGGGGAGACTCTTGCCAAAATGGAGCTCTTCCTCTTCTTCACCAGTCTCCTGCAGAGGTTCAACTTCCTCCCTCCACCTGGAGTTTCCAACTCAGACCTGGACCTCAGTCCTGCCGTTTCATTTAATGTCATCCCCAAACCCTATAAAATGTGTGCTGTAGCACGTTCCTAGAGCTCTAATCCACTGTGTTGCTAAAATGTTTAAATCACTTTTCCATGGCATCTGTCTTCTTAATTCTTTTACCAAAATAATAATCCATATTTCAATTAAGTTTCCAGTACTTCTAAACCAAAGTGGTGTTCTTTTATTTTTTGGGAGAGGGCAGAAATGGACCAGAAGTGTGAAGTAACTGATGGCTCATGGATTAATCTCTTAGATCACCTAATCTTGGTTAAATAATACAGGTCTTCAGCTTTCCTATTCTTGCTGCCATGTTCACTGTTTGTTGAAAGCATATCTCAAAAAATGCTCCCAAGTCCAGGTCTTTCCCAAAGACATATGGGCTATGAAGCTGTGCTTAGGTTGTACAAGGAGATAAATGCAGGATGTTCAGAGTTTGAGGCTGTCAGAACAGAAGGGATGTTTGACCTTGGCAGGCAGCTGGGTTTGAAGCTGGACTGGATTTCCTGATGTCCCCCAGTGCCCCAGTGCAGCTTCTTCCCTTGGCTCTTCTCCCCACTCCAGTTCCATGTGCAAAGAAATCACAGTTCTGTACTTGTAGATCACCTCTGAGGAAAAACCTTCAACCAAGCTGACCTGAATCCAGAAGTTCTTTAAGATTTTCCCTGAGTATTCCTTAACTGGATAAACTCAGTACATAAAGCATACACACACAAGAAAATGTCTTACCTACTTAAAGCCAAGGTTTGTGAAATTGAAGTTTCAGGAGCTCCCAGGTCAAATCCCACAGCTGTGGCCACAGCTCCACACATACAGATCAACAGTGAACCTTCTGGAAGAGGCCTCAAATCTCATCAAAACCAACCATCTGATCATTCTGCAGCTCTGTCCAAGAGCATCCACCGTCAAGTAGAGCTAAGACCATCTCCTAGATGTCTGGATTTATGTTCCCTGGTTCATGTTACCCTGTTTATGTGTGCATGACAACCCCAAAGTAACAACACCCACAGCCAGCCTATCAGAAATCACCCAGTGTTCGGGAAAAAAATTAAATTAATTATGGCTTGCCTCTGTATCTATCCAGCACTGTAATGCAGCAGCTCATTCTTCAGTTATTATTTCAACTTCCTTGTGTGGAAGCTGAATTTGACTCCTACTCACTGCCCTTCTCCACACTTTCTTTTAAAAATAAAAAGCTTTCAAAAAGGCAAAGGTCTCTATGTGGTTCAGGAAGTTCAAAACCCACATAATAAATCACCCTTAACGAAAGCAAAGGAGTATATCTTTACTTAACCTTTTCCTAGCATGCAAGAAAATCTTTAACCCATGCTCTGGATTCAATTATTTTGGGGTAATGGTTATATCAGTAAATGCTCTCCTTGCCAAGTGATCACAAATTTGAGAAATACTTCTAAATAATTATATTCCTTTCCCTATGGTTCAGTATAAAGCAAATACTTAGTCTGGTTTTCCTGATCTTACATGGTTTAGGTAATCCTGTGAGGAGTAGAAAGCTGGACTCAGAGATCCTTACAGGTTCATTCCAACTTGAGATATTCCATGATTCTAACTCCAGAGAGGCCTTCAAGCCCTCACAGAAGAGAGATAATTAGCTTTTGTCTCATTAAGAGTAGCAGCAGCTTGTAAACAGCAGAACAAGAGTTCATGAAGCAAGTCAGTGTAAAGAGCACTGCTATCTTTCACCAGGTAATTTACCAGAGAAGGTATTTCATGTTGTTTGATGTTGGTTTTCGTATTGAGTAATGAAAATGTAAAAAAAAATTTTTAATTTGATTAAAATTATTCCATTTTCTTCAATTGAGGATTTTTGTTAAAAAATAGTAAGAAAGTTGAACAGGGGATTTATAAGTGAGTATTAGATAAGCTTATTTTTACTACCTGTTTCAGGCTGTAACTCCCAAATAAAAACTACTTTGGTAGAAGACACAGCCTTCAGTGATTTACAGCTAAAGGAGTGCAAATAGAATGGAATAGTTCCCTCATTCTGTAAAAACACCCAAATAACCCAGGATCCATTTCCCTCCCTTTTCCTATGACAGGATATATCATCATTAGAAGTCATCACAGATCAAAAAAATCCCAAAAAATCTTGAGAGATGACTTAAATCACTTGAGTTCCAAAATGTATCTACAAATTTATATACCAATGTTAATAGAAAATGTTTTAACAGAAATGCAGCAGTCACAAGAGGAAGGCCATTAGGGAGAAAGCAGATTCCATCCAAACTCAGCATGGAGACTCCACATATTTTGATTTCTCAAAGCAAATCCACTTTCTCATAGGCCTTTTCAGCAAGGGTTAACAAGTTCTTCAAGTCAGCTGACTGCTGAATAGCATTCATATCCTTTAAAAGGTCCTTCTGATTCTTTACTTTCAAAATTTCCTCCTAAAGAAGGAAAGAATCATAGATAACAAATTAAAAAAACCAGCTTTTCTCTAGCCCAACAGGAATTTCACCTTCATGCAGCCCAGCTATAGCTTAAACAAAAAATGATTCAAAGTCACAGAATGAGTCTTCCCTCCAGCCATTATAGATATATTTCACAAATTGCAAGTTCCCTAGGGCCATAGAGTTTCTAGGAAAAGACAGGTGATGTTTTAAATCATAAGATCACTGAATTATTTGGGTTGGAAGAGACCTCAAAGATCAGCTTGTTCTAAGCCCCTGCCATGGGCAGGGCCACCTCCCACAAGGTTCCACTATCCCAGGCTGCTTAGAGCCCCATCCACCCTGGCCTTGAACACTTCCAGGGATGAGGAGGGTTTTTAGAGGTTTGTCCTGGTTTTAAATCAGAAGTATTTAGTTCTCAATGAAAAGAACAAAAATATAACACAGAAAATGAAAATCTATTCAAATTTTCTGAATTTTCAGAATTGCCCCCTCTGGCAGAGGTTAAGGGGTAATAGCACATTCTGTTGCCTTCTTCCTCATAACCAAAGTGTCTCTGAAAAGACAAATATTTATTCCACACTCACCTGCAAAGTGGGTGCCTGAAAACTGCGCTTGGGGAGTTCTGGAAGCTGGAGCGCTCCACTGCCGTTTTCCTGGAATACCTAGAGAAAGAAGAAGAGAATGAACAAACAATCCAAATCTCCAAATATCAGGCACACAAGTATGACAATAAACTGTCATTATCCAACTTCTGAAACCAAACTTAATTCTGCAACTTAAGTTGGAAAGATTAAGAAAATCCATTCCCAAAAGCACACGAGGTCTTCCTTAAATGGCACTGCCTGAGAAACAGCTTGTTTGAAAAAGCTCTCAAGTCAGCCCATTCCTCTAAATTATAGGAGTACACAAGTAATTATTTTATATATTTATTTATATTTATTTATTATTTTATACCTTCCTGGCCTCTTTTTCATCTTTCTCTAACTGGTTTTTGAGCACCTGGATTTTGTACTTCAGCTGCTGTATATTTTCCTCAATGCGCTCTGCCGATCTCTCTGCTTCATTTATTTCTTCCTAAAACAAAACCAAGACAAAACCAGAAGAAAATTTGCTTTAGAAATGGTGAATCTTTCCCACAGAACACAATGAGTCACTGAAAAAACATCCAAAAAGAGACAGAGCTGTGCAGCAAAGGTGGCTGACAATGATGAACACTTAGACACTCCTTCACAACAGCACAGGCCTGATCAGCAGCGTGGTAAGGTAATTTCTTCTCTTCCTTGTTTTTCATACCTGCAGTTGTACCAAAGACTCCTCATTTGTCTCAAGCATTTGCTTCTCTGCCATTTGAAGGCCCAGGATATTCTTCAGGTTGCCCAGCTTCCCTGGAGGCACATTTAAAGTCTTGAAACTTTTCAGCACCCTTTAATTACAGAAAAAGGAAAGTATGACTTGTTTGGAGTTCTTCGCAAAGCAAAAAGAAAATTCTGGGGAAAAACTAATCTCATTATGGTTTTAAACTTAAGTGCTGCCAGTGAAGTAAATGGCAGCAGAGGGAAAGAAAACTGCCTTGAATTGTTTTTAAAACCATGTGGAGTAGGTGTCCGAGGAAAGAACCAGGAACAAGCAATCCCAAAATTCCCATGTTTGCTATTGCACTGACCTTGTGTGGTTTATATTCCACACAAGACCTCTACACTCCTGACTATAACCTGACATTAATTAATATTTTCTTAATATTTTCCCAGTTCTGACCCTTCTGCTTTTCAAATTAAGTTCTAAGAGGAGGATTTTTAACTGCTTCCAAATGATGATCATTTTAGTAAAACCTGGAAATGCTTTTATGAAGCATAATATATAGCTTTCTCCATATATCTAAATCTAAATATTTAGATAGGTAAATGTCAGAGGAGAGTTTTAGTTCACCCTCAAAGTACGATCCAAAACAACTGGGTAGAAGAAATCTTTTCTCTCCCTCTTTCCTTTCAATTTATAATTTCTTACCTGTTTTTCAGTACATTGAGGTGCTTCTGAACATCATCTTTTCCCTCCCTCTGTTGGGACAAAACAGATCTGGAAAGAAAACACAGGCAAAATTTCCATCACAAAGAGTGCAAGCACAGAGAACACATCAAAAACCACACTGACTTCCAGTTCAAGTAATACTATGATTTTTACTTGTTCATTGAGGAAATAAAGAAAAACCACCAGGGTATTTGGCACTTACAGTACTACTGAATCCACTATATTTTCCAGGAAGAGCCTGCTGTTCTCTGAGAGAGGCTGCCAAGATCTTATTGCAGCACTGGACAGCTTCATTGTTTTTGAAGAACCATTTTCTCCTGTTGTCACAAAGGAAAAAAGGGAACTATGACTTGTCAAACCTGGACAGAGAGCTTTGTGACTCAATTCAGTCACACTGGAGTCAAAGGTGTAAAACAGCTCAGATTTAACAGCAAAGAACAGAACCCTACCTGCAGGGGAAGAGTCCTTCAGTTCCTTAACTCCCCTTTTGCCTTTCTGAGGGACCTGCTGAAGGGAAAAATTTACAGTAAATGTGGCAATTTTGAGACATCCTCAGCTGTGCAATCATTCATCTATTCCTGTGAACTCACTATGCCAGTGTCTGACAAAAGTCTTTGAGCACAAAAAGCCCCAAAAAGCTTTATTGAAGACTTCTCAAAAGAACTCTTCACACTGGGCATTTCCTCAAGAGGACTATTCTTAGCTAATGAAGTATTCTCTATAAATTCTAATTTAAAAAATGGGAGAAAATACCTCGTTCCCCTTCCCCTTCCAAAAAAATTAATACCTGTCTTTTTTGACCTTGTTTTCTTCCTTGTTCATCTGCTCCCCTTTTTTTGCTAGAAGGCCCTTGTTGATTTTGTGATTTAGAAGGATTTTTTGCTGATCTCCCACCAGCTGTCTTCCCCATTTTATTGGAAGGTGTGTGGCAGGGTTTCATTGTCTGTAAACCAATGGGAACAGGAGGAAACAAAGACAAAATTAAAATCCAGCAATTATAACCCATACAGTGCAAACCATACCCTATTAAAAAAAAATGGAAATTGGGCTCAACCCAATAAGCCCCAAATGAGCCTAAATGAGAAAAAAATGTTTGCATATTTACTAACTTAGAGCCAAAATCCTATAAATTTACCAAAATGTAGAAATGTAGAACCACTAAAAAAGCATCGCCATTAGGAAGATGTCTCTGCCCATGGCAGGCAGTTGGAAATAGATGATCTTTAAGGTCTCTTCCAACCCAAACCATTCTGTGATTCATTTTTCTAATTTTCAACGCAGTCATCCAATTAGCAGAACTTTTTACCTTAGCACATAAGTACTAGTGGTCTCTGATGCAGTTTAAATTCACAGTTTTTCTTACTATAGAGAAAGAGGAAAAAGCTGTCACAAGGAAGGGAATAGCCACAAAGGCCACCAACCTTCTCGTCTCTCAAGCACCACGACTCAGATTTATTCAGCTTTTCACTCACCCCCTCTGGCCACTCTCTCCTCACTCAGGTCCTGTCACTTCTCGCCAGGCAAGTATCGAAATTGACAGTAGACAAATAGGCTCCGGCAGGGTTACTGAGGCCTAAAACAGGTAAATAAACCACATGCCAGGTAAACAAACTCCACACCAGCTAAATAAGCCCTAAAACAAGCAAATAAGCCCTGCATGTCCCCTCCTCCATAACTGCCCATGTTGCGGGACAGCTTTCACAGCAGACAGCAAGTAAGGTATGGACTACAGCTCCCAGCATGCATCGCTCCCCACCGCAGCCTAGGAGCTTCTCCTCCATCGCGGTGCATGCTGGGAGTTGTAGTCCTCACCCATTTATCCTCACATCCCCAGTGCTCGCTCCCCGGTGCTGCCGGATAGCATCATGGACAACATCTCCACAAACTCCTTCCGCTCCTCCCGGCTCATGTCGCCCCGAGCCTCACCTTCTCGGTGCAGCGTCACCTTCCCGGCGCAGCCTTCCCCGCCTCAGCGCTGCCGCCGGCCCCGCCTCAGCCCGCCGGGACGTTACCAAACCCGCGCTTGCCGCGGCGCACGCGCAACGCCGCTCCCGCCCACCGCGCGTGCGCGGGGGCCGCGGCCGACGGAGGGGCCGGTGGCAGGTAACGGGAGGGATTCCATCCCTGTCCTCATCCCGATCCCTTTCCATGGCCCCGTCCGTGTCCGCAGCCCCCAGCCCTGCCCCTGTCCTTGTCCTTATCCCCTGTCCCAGCTCCCGGCCCGGCCCTCGGTCCCCATTGGCCGCCTGAGGGGCGTGTTGGGGGCGGGCGGTGGCGGCGGGCGCTGTCCCGGGGCGGAGGAGAGCGGAGTGTTCGTGTCCGGCTGTGGGTGCTGAGGAGAAAGAGGTGTGGAGAGGGGCTGACAGGGCGAGATGGGCACAGAGGAATTGTCTGAAACTGAACGCGGGTAAATGCAGCGTCCGGCTCAGGGAAAGGAATAATTCCGGCGGGGTTAGGAAGAGCATTGCAAGGAGGAAGGGGATCCTGCCCCTCTGCTCCGCCCTGCTGAGGCACATCTGGGGTGCTGTGTGCAGTTCTGGGCTCCTCAGGACAAGACACACATGGAGCTCCTGTAATGGAGGGACTGGAGCATCTCCCTGACAGGGAAAGGCTGAGGGAGCTGGGGCTGTTCAGCCTGGAGAGGAGGCACAGCTGAGAGGGGCCCTCAGCCCTGGGTGTCCCTGTGTGCAGGGAGGGGCAGAGCAGGGCCCAGGCTCTGCTCCAGGGCCCAGCAATGGCACCAGAGCCACGGGCACGGACTGAGCCCAGCAAGTTCCACCTGGACAGGAGGCAGAACTTCTTTCCTGTGCAGTGACTGAGCACTGAACAGAGACCAGAGAGGCTGTGGAGTCTCCCTCTCTGGGGGTATTCCAGAATTGTCTGTACACAATCCTGTGCCCTGTGCTCTGGGATGACCCTGCTTGAGCAGGGAGGTTGGATCAGATGAGCCACTGTGGTCCTTTCCAGCCTGACTCATCCTGTGACCCATGCAGGGGTGTGGGCACAGATTGCCTTCCATCCTGGCTGCAGCATCACATCCCCGCAGGGCATGAGTGCTCCTCGGGAGCTCCTCTGTGCCGCTCAGGTTATACCACACTCAACATATATATTATTAAAGCAAAGGTTTGGACGGTGTTGCTGCAGTGATAGAGGTGCTTTCCTGTATCTTGTAGAGGGTTTCTCATAAAGCTGTCAGGGAAGTTTGTATTTCTTGGGAGTTGTGAAAGAGATGAGAGAGTGAGGAAGTGACTGACCCTTGGAGCTAAGCTGTAAAGGTTTTGTTTTTGTAAGTGCAAGGATAGGGTATGGAGAGCAGAAGCAAAGGTGTTTACAGCTTTTAGGAGTTACTGAACTCACAGACTGGTTTGAGTTGGAAAGGACCTGAAAGATCATCTCATTCCAACCCCCGCCATGGGCAGGGACATCTTCCATTATCACAGGGTGCTCCAAACCCCATCTAATCTGTCCTTGGACACTTCCAGGGATTGGGCAGCCACAGCATCTCTGGGCAGCCTGTGCCAGGGCCTCACCACCCTCACAGGGAATTGTTCACATTGTTGCCCTGTCAGTCTCATGCATGGTGGGCCAAGCTCTGCAGCTTGTATTGTCCCTGTGTTCTCACATACTACATTTTTTCTTCTCCTTTCTTTTCCAACCTATCTCTAGTTTCCATCCAGCCCAAGCCATCTTTTCCAAAGTGTATGCTTATATCAGCAATTTTCTGACAGCTCACTTCCTGCAGAGTGCCTCCTTGATGTTGGATACTGGGAAGAAATTCTGTGAGACTGGTGAGGCACTGGCACAGGTTGCTCAGAGAAGCTGTAGCTGCCCCATCCCTGGAAGAGCATCACTCTTTGACATGAAGGAATTCCCATATGAGAGAGATGTGAAGGTGAGGGGGTAGCTGGCCATGCCATCTTCATGCCTCACACTGGCTTTTCAGTGACTGATTAATGATGACGATGCTGAGGGACTGAGATAAGTTACACATCTCAGATGTGGATGTAGATAAGTTGAGGGAATGTTTTCCTTGGTTAGATGAAAATGTAGGATTTTTCCTGAATTTTGCCTTTCTTCCTGGTTGAAAGGCAAGAGGAAGGGCTGTCTGTTAAATCAGTGCGTAACACTTTTCATTTTTCTCCTGAGAGTTTGTTTTGGGTTTAGCAAACTGCATGACCTCTCCATCCTCACATCTGCTATGTTAGGTGCACATGATAACACAAAGTGCACGTTTTTGTTTTGTCCAGCGTGTCCCAGCCCGTGAGCAGAGCCATGCTGAGGGCCGGGGACGCCGTCCTGCGGCTGCGGCCGCGCCGCTGCGCGCTCCTGGCCCGGCGCGCCCTGCACAGGCAGCCCCTGCACCCCGAGTGGGCTGCCCTGGCCCAGAAGCAGCTGAAAGGCAAGAACCCACAGGATTTAATCTGGCACACCCCAGAGGGGATCGACATCAAGCCTTTATACTCCAGAAGGGACACGGAGGAGTTCCCCGAGGAGCTGCCAGGGATGAAGCCTTTCACTCGAGGGCCCTACCCCACCATGTACACGTACAGGCCGTGGACCATCCGCCAGTACGCCGGGTTCAGTACAGTGGAGGAGAGCAACAAGTTCTACAAGGACAACATCAAAGGTGGGGTCTGGGAAACAACAGTGCCTTGTGAGGCAATGGGGGACATGAATTCAGTCAGTTACATGGCAGATGTGATTATTCTGCACCGTGAGTCTGGATTTCTGATAAGGTCTTCCCAGTGGCACTGTCTTTCTTTATTACTGGGAAATTGAATTGTTTGTGGAAGTGCCTTTGTTTCATTTTGCTGTGGAGAATGAATATGTTAAATGCTCATTTTAGTTATTGCACCTTAACACATAGACATAATTTGCATCCATGCCAGGGTTCAGGCAGCTGAGATCATGGAGCTGAAGCAGAAGTGGTTACCTGGCTTAGCTGGTAGCACAGCCCAGTCTCTGGTCAGAGGGGGGAATGCCTGGGGACAGCAGAGTTTTGGGTTCTGCTTTCAGGTTGCAGCAACAGGAGGTCTGGCTATCCTGTTCCCTGCTTTATATGAATAATTTTCTCTTACTGCAGCTTTGCAAATAACGACATGTGTCAGTAGAGCCAGGGAACAGTCTGTGGTGTTTAGTTTGTGATAAAGAGAAGGTAATGTGACAGAGTTTATGACGCTTCTGCTCCCAGCTAAGCCAAGCTGATTTAAGCTCTTATGCTGCCTATCTAGGTGCATTTTTAACTTGTGTGTGAGCTGTTATTTAGCAATTTTTAAAGCACAGTAAGGTCTACCTTTTTTGGGTGGTCTTTTTCCCGGTTAAAAACTTCTTCATTTGAAGTTTAAGACTACTAAACCTAAACTACTAAACGGGTTTGGGGAGGGAACAATGTTTAACATCAAAATTTAGTTTGCCATTCAAGCCTGAATCAGGTATGATAGAGTTAATAAATTTAAATCCCATCCTAATACAAGTCTGTTCAACACCTCTAACTATCCCTCTTTGTTGTTTTTTGGGGTTTTTCCTTTCTTTTTCATGTAGCTGGCCAGCAGGGATTATCAGTTGCTTTTGATTTAGCCACCCACCGTGGTTATGATTCAGACAATCCCCGGGTTCGAGGAGACGTTGGAATGGCTGGAGTTGCCATCGACACAGTGGAAGACACCAAAATCCTTTTTGATGGAATTCCTTTGGAGAAAATGTCAGTTTCCATGACAATGAACGGGGCAGTCATTCCTGTGCTGGCTACGTTCATTGTGACTGGGGAAGAGCAGGGAGTTCCTCAGGCCAAGCTGACAGGGACAATCCAGAATGACATCCTGAAGGAGTTCATGGTCAGAAACACCTACATTTTCCCCCCAGAACCATCCATGAGGATCATTGCTGACATCTTCCAGTACACCTCAAAGGTATGCATTGTTTAAATATATAACTTCTATTATTAGGGTGTTTATGAGGCACTTTGGAGAACAAAGAAAAGATTGGAAGGCATGTCAAGAGAAGAGTAATAGGGTTGTGGAAAGGCCCAGTAAAAGTTAAGATCCAACATAATTTAAAATATAAATTTGAAGTTTGAGTCAAACTTCAAATTTCAAGCACCACAACTCAAACACATCTTTGTAGAGATGTATTTACAGTCAACAAGGAAGTCAGAGAATGGGCTGGAGACAGGCTGAGAGAGCTGGGGGTGTTCAGCCCAGAGAAGGCTCCAGGAAAACCTCATTGTAGCCTTTCAGTACCTAAGGAGGGGTTTATAAAATAGATTGAGAGCAAACTTTTACACCAATAGTGACAACTTCCTTCCCTGTGAGGATGGGGAGACCCTGGCACAGGGTGCCCAGAGAAGCTGTGGCTGCCCCATCCCTGGAAGTGTCCAAGGCCAGGTTGGAGGGGCTTGGAGCAACCTGGGATAGTGGAAGGTGTCCCTGCCCATGGCAGGGGATGTTGAAACCAGATGACCTTTAACTCCCTTCCAGCTCAAACCATTCTGTGATTCTGTGTTAATGTGATAGAACAAGTATTTGATCCTCTCTTCTGCTGTTATATCCTGTTGTATCTTTTGGGGTTTTTTTTGTTTTTTTTTTTTGCAGTATATGCCAAAATTTAATTCCATTTCCATCAGCGGGTACCACATGCAAGAGGCAGGAGCTGATGCCATCCTGGAATTAGCTTATACCATAGCAGATGGCTTGGAGTACTGCAGAACTGGCCTTAAAGCTGGCCTCACTATTGATGAATTTGCACCTAGGTGAGCTCAAGAACTCACTTTTGGTAAAACTTCTATAGAGTTTAACACCAAATTCAGTATTTTTACACATCATCTGTGAAAGTACCTTAATCAGAGACCTTGCTGTCAGGCTTTTCTATTACTGATCCAGAGTTATCTGAATGATTCAATGTTACATTCTAATCATGTTCTCCTATTACAGGCTCTCTTTCTTCTGGGGAATTGGCATGAACTTCTATATGGAAATAGCGAAGATGAGAGCTGGGAGGCGGCTGTGGGCTCACTTGATTGAGAAAATGTTTAAGCCCAAGAATTCCAAATCTCTTCTGCTGAGAGCTCATTGTCAGACTTCGGGCTGGTCACTCACTGAGCAGGTTAGAAATTGGACTCTCATC